CGCCGCGTATACCACGTTCGATGAACATGACCATATCGATATCAGTGAGTAATTCAAAAATTATGCCGGTATGTTTTAACATAGCATCCCAAGTAAAACCCGGTAAAGTATAATAATGTGCAGGATCTAATCCGTAACTTTTGATGCAACTATCCCGGAAATTTTTTAAAATATCGGCTAATAATAAGACATCAGTCTTCAGATATAAATCGCTGTATTCACCCAAGGTTTAAATAGAGAATCGTTGCCAGGCGTTCGCAGCGTGCGCGTAATCGCTCTCTGATACCGTATTACCCGTCAACGAATTATAAAACGATTCTCGCGGTGGTAAACACGGGTCCCGCAGCTTGTCCGCGCAATCAAGGTATTCATATGGAAAAACACCTTTTCGCATCAATAAATCGAAATCGAATATATTTGAAAATGTAGACTGTAAAATTTTTAATTTTTCTTTGCCGAGAAAAAATGCTAATTTTTCAAGACTGGTATTTAAAAATTTGTATGAATCAATGAATCGTAACTGTATGCAATTTCGTGAATCCGATTTTTTTGCTGTATCTTGGAAATACTTTGTAAATGATATATATTTTTCTTTTGTTATCGGCAACACGTTGATCGAGCCTTCAAATGCATCTGCTATTTCCGTGATAATAAAATGTGAATCGTAGCCGGATAAATTATGGAAAACTATTGGGATGTAATATAAATGTTTATAATTTAAATTGCACTTTAAATGCGCGGGACGTCTGTACCGTCCCGTGAGATGGCAATGATCGCGTACGCGTGTATCTTCTTTCTCGATCTCTTTCTCGTACACGTGACAGTGCGTTGCGCTATTAAATGTTTCCAACTGTTCGCTTGATAAAGTTTCCATGGAAACATTTGTTGCCAAGACTAATTTTACGCGGTGCGCTAACTTTTCGAGTTGCTCGACGAACCACGAGACGCAATCACTATCGCGACGGCTTCGAAAATACGATAATACGATAATGACAATGGCTTTGTCATACGAGCAATGTAAATAATACGCTATGCTAAATACCGTATGATGCCGATACGCGAGCGATTTGTGATCCTCTCCTTCCTCGCTCGTAGTCTTCCGTAAAATGCACTCCAGATCGGCGTACACGACGAACGGCGGACGCTTTTTCCTGTTGTGGTTGCAAAAACTGAGCCATTTGTCGTCCTCGCTAGGAAGCAAAATGGCACAGTGGTTCATTTCTCCACAATCTATAGTATGGACCTGCAACCTTTCGCTCGAACTAAAATAGTGCAAGCATCTGTAAAAAAAATTTAAATTAATACTCATTTTTTCTCAAAAAATATTTATAATATTTTTTTTACAAATTTTTATACGTGCCGGTTGCAGATATACTTCTTATGATCATGTTTGCTTAATTGCGAGCTCACAAGTCGGGACAAGTTTTTTATCCATACAAAGTGTCTAACGTTGTCATCTCGCGGATCTGGCAAGTACAGCAAGTTGACGTGTCTGTCCATCGTGCGGTCAGTGAGGCGTATCGGAAGGATCACGTGTGTCGTTTTTCCTTTTTCTGTTTTCTTCTTTTCAGCACTGTACACGTTGATTGATATATTGTTTTGTCGCTCGAAGTTTGTTATTTTATTTACAGACATTGGAAACTCAATGTTCTGTAAATTGAGCACTGTTGTATAGTGTGGGTACATGGATGCACGATTTGCGTCTCTATCGACTGGATACAGAGCCGCAACCACTGCCCACGCGAAACACGCATTGTCACCAAATTTAACGTTAATTACCGCTTTCTTGGTCTGTATCTCGCGCGGTAACTCAATGTGGCACCCCGCACGCATCGGATTGTACTTGTTAATATTGACTGTTAAGTTGAGTATTCAAGACAGTGCCCATCCGCTATCACGTTCTTGAAATTCTTTTAAAGATGCTAAAGTGGGCTCGATAACACGTCGCTCATACCACTCTTCGAGATCGGATGCGCGGAAGAGTTCAAAGTTTTTCGTGGTAATACTTTTATTCTCGCGTTTATCACCCGTGACAAACTCACCGTTAAATGCGGTGTTCACTTTCACACTTGCGTGTCTCTCCCTAGCGTTTTGCACATGTTCAAGCACTATGTCCTTCGCACTCTGGAGAAATCGAAGAGGTTCGATAAAATTTACATTTATAACCGCACCAGTTAATACGCGGCTATTGAACGCAGTGTCTATTTCACGCCATAAGAGTCCAGCGTTTGAATGTCCGGCGCCTGTATGTACAAAACGCGTACGCAATGAATGTTTTAGTCCTTCGAGTCGTGCAATTCGAGCGATCAACGATTGTTGAACACCGATCGATAATCTCGGTCGTTTCGCTCGACTATGTCCTTCCAACGACTCGAGACATTCGTCGCACCGTTCCTCCCACACGTTGTATTCGTCTCGCGAACTCAGTCGAGCAGATTGATCCCACAGTTCACGTTCAGTTCGCACGAGTTCTTCCATTTTTTTCATTAAAACACTGCCAAAATTATCTTTCAGGTTTTTTATAGCCGATTAAAGCAAATCTTCTTCTTCTTCTTCACATGTGTGTGTAGAAGCTGGTATGCATACAGGACACAAATTGCACGGAAGTATTTGAAAGAGTGATCCATTGCAATTTGAACAAAATTTTCCATTTATCGCATCGTGTCTTTCAATCAGATGCTTTCGAACGGCATACATGTGTGTGAATAAGCCTGTCAGTCGCACCATACATGAANTCTTCCATTTTTTTCATTAAAACACTGCCAAAATTATCTTTCAGGTTTTTTATAGCCGATTAAAGCAAATCTTCTTCTTCTTCTTCACATGTGTGTGTAAAAGCTGGTATGCATTCAGGACACAAATTGCACGGAAGTATTTGAAAGAGTGATCCATTGCAATTCGAACAAAATTTTCCATTTATCGCATCGTGTCTTTCAATCAGATGCTTTCGAACGGCATACATGTGTATGAATAAGCTTGTCAGTCGCACCATACATGAAGCACAGAACGTTGCACCGCCTCCTGTAGTGTAGAAAAAATATATGCAACACATTTTTGTTTGTCCACTCAGCGCATTGATTTCCGCATTACACATTGCTTTAAACTCGTTTTCCCCAAAGTCATCACTAGAATCGCTGAAAACATCACTATCGTTTGTAAGAATATGACCATCATCGGTATCTGATGAATCGGTATCTGATAAATCCATTATTGCTTCAAAATTATTGTCCACATCAACATCATTGTCCATATCAACATCATTGTTCACTTCCATTTTTTAGAATCTTCTAAAATCTTCTAAAATACTTCTCACACAAATTTTCTCATTATTTAACTCTTTTTTACTGATCACTGCGCAATGCCTTCGCTTGAACAATCTACTATGATCTTTTACTTTTTAATATATCGACATTGACTGACACAAACTGACTGGCACAAACTGGCTGTGCGTTCCTGCCTTATATTTCCTTTTTTAATGTGAAAAAATAGGCGGGATGATAGACTCTGAGGATATCGCCGACCCATCAGGGAAAAAAACTTACAATGTGCTCTGATGACGAATCCAAGTACCTCCATAAACGCTTAGCGAAGGTTTGCGATAGCAGTTGCGATAGAAAAGGTTTTCGGTAACAATTTCGATAAAAAAAGATTTTACCAGCCTTCTTCGTAATAAACCTATGCATACATCCTCTGATAACGAAGCCATTAGCGCTTAGCGAAGGTTTCCGATAGCAGTTGCGATAAAAAAAGGTTTTCGGCAACAGTTTCAATAAAAAAATAGGTTTTTCCAGCATTCTTCGTAACAAACCTATGCATACATCCTCTGATGACGAATCCATTAGCGCTTAACGTGTTGCAACATGTAGCAAAAAATAATAACCTTTAAAAAGTTATTCTTTCAAATAAATATAAATATCATGTGTCCTTATGCCACACATCATTTTTGTCTTCTACGTTATGATGATTGGTGCTATCTCAATAATGTGTGAGTGCTTACTTGATCGGCTACGACGCCGTGTTAGAGATTTATTATTAAGTTTTCTAGAAAAATCTATCGGTATGTGCGTTGCAAGGGTAGATATCCGTGAAGAATAAAAAAAGGAAGGGGAAAATAAACTTGGTGGGGAACTCTCTATATATTTTTTCGAGGAGCTCATGCATTCCATCAGTTGCTTCGTGACGACAAGACTCGACGGTAGTTTTTACATANAAAAAAAAGGAGGGGAAAATAAACTTAGTGGGGAACTCTCTATATATTTTTCGAGGAGATCATGCATTCCATCAGTTGCTTCGTGACGACAAGACTCGACGGTAGTTTTTACATATAGTTCGAGATGTATACCACAGGTGCTGAAGTTAAGACCAAACGTGCAAATTGTTACTTGCCTATTGAGCAGGCTTCACAATGCAAGAAAATAAAGTGTGAAAGGTTAGTATTATTCTCAATTTATATGCAATATAATCTCTCTCTTTCTGAGATTTGAATATTTAACAAAAACTTCTCTTAAATTTTTCTTTACAGCGTTTCTACTGAAAAACCACGTATTCCTGCTCGTATCTTAGGGAGGAGATACATGCTGACAACTACATCATATAAATTCTTAGAAATTGGAATCAGTGTAGGACCTGCATCCTACGTGGAACTCGTTCTCGGCGATAATCGAGGCAATCATTTGATATTACCAAAGGAAATCTGGAAGGAGATTATACATAGACGTGCGCACATCGAGCGATATGTGGTGTCACCTAATTCATCGCCATTATGGATTCGGGATTTGTCGGTGGAATGTCGCATGATGCACGGTGATACCATCATAAAGCTAACATTATTCAACAAGTCGTTGTATTTAAAACCGGAAACATTGAATAACTTATTCAATCTTGAGCAGTGTATTGATCATATGTATTCATGGTTATATGAAAATACGCATATTGTTAATGCTAAGTTCCAAAAATTTGTATGCATTTTGCAACAAAATGATATTATTCGTAAATGGTACGAGTCCAAAACTACTGACTGGTCTTACGCAGCTAAAGTAATACGTGAAAGTGACGATTTCGACAGCGAGTCTCTCGTTGACTGTGAGCTATTGGCGTGCGCCTTGAAAGACCTTGTACATTATGTTCTGAATAATTAATAATAAACTATTTTAGATTCTCAAAGATTTTTTTTAACTTAATATCCTCCCCCCCTTACCTTTCCCCCTTTAGATGTAAGTGAATGCGGTGGACTGGGGTTCCGACCGCCGCAGGATGAGTCATCTAGGAACGCGGAGTAGATGAAAACTAGAAATATTGTTTTCCATTGTGTTATCCGTTCCGGACGGGACTTAATATTATCTTTTTCGGCAGGGCTTTGGGTTGCTGCTTATGCAGGTACTCCGAGCATTAACCTCCAGGCGGCCGGCATTTAGGAATGTTTCATAGTGACACTTTGAGGGATTGCCCCTGTAAAATTTTTTTTTTTTTTCAATGGATCGTATATATCGATCAAAAGAGCATTGCAAATGGGGATATTCCAGGCGCCTGGAAGTTAACGGTATGATTTTGGCTCCATCGGCGGACAGTTCAGATTTTCTTGTCGACGTGAAAGCATTGCGAGTTGTTCGAGAGTTTAAGTGAACTAAAAATGAAAAAGGAATTGCAATGGAGGTTATCGCCGTCGAAGCTGTATTTAAGGATTTTGTAAGGGTAAGTTTTTCCCTTTTTTTCTATTTTAAAGGGGGAATGGTCTTAGGATTAATTCTGTGGTTTTTTTCTAAA